TACTCTTATTATTATTTTACGCTTACAAACTGTCTGAATACAATCATTTATACATCAAACGATAAATATCACATAGAATATAATATTACAGTAAGCACTTTATACTGTTGAAATTAGAGTAATTTTTATGGTGGTTTTTAATAGTTAAAATTAATAAAAACTGTATTATGTTATCATTAGGCAAGAATTAGAGCTCAGAAATGTATGAATTAATTTTTTTTTTTGATGGAGTGGGAACGGCTGGAAAATGCATATGGTTTTTAATATATTTAAATTATAATTACTAGGTACCTATTTTTATATTGAATTTTACGATATGAAAATTATAAATTGTTTGCAGCAAATCTAAAAAATGCTCATAACATCCTTTAACATAAAAAAAGTCTTGGTATTTTTATGGAATTAAAATGTTTTTGAGGGCATTATTTAATACTTTTAAGGTTTAGGTCATAAACTTCCGAGATCCAAACCTTAGTTATCATGTTAGATATTTCTGATATTTAAGTTCTACCATGGTAAATTAGTACAATAATTGGGTAAGTAAATCCAGGCCCGTATTTAGGGGGGGCCAGGGTGGGCCATTTCCCCTCCTGGTGGAACTTGTGGGGCGGTAATTTTTTCATGAACTTTTTTTATTAGTTATAAAGTTACATAGTTATAAGTTTATAACATTAAAATTATGTAAAATGTTTTTTCCTTATGTATTGTGATTAGGTGGAGATTTCTCCAAAGCTTATTTTAGGATGATATTCTCTCAAATCTATTTTTATACTAATTGAAAAATATTAAAAATACATAGGCACAATTTTTTTTTATAAGCATTTAAAGATCGCATTTTGACAAAATTTATCAAAATCTCGAAAATTATCAATCATCGTAATTACTAATTAATAAATTATAAAATGTTCAGTTTTTATAGCTAAAGATTGAAAATTTAAAAAAAAGATTCTCATAAATAGTTCATACTGTAGCCAAAAAATCTAAAAAATATATGAGCAGTGAGCACAGTTATTTTTTACAGACATTTTAAGTTCAAATTTGGGACGAAATTACATATTAAAAAACCTAGCATACCTATTTTAGTCATTTTGTTGTGAGTGTATAATACTATTCGTGGGTACTTGAAACTTCTAAAGTACACTATATTATATATCAATGATAGTATCAGGGTTTGTTATTGATGTATAACGTGTTATAAGTACCTAGTGGATATTGTGATATGATTAATTTGGAATTTATTATAGGTCAATTTTTTTTTAATACCATAGATATGTATATAATATGTCTTAAACCTAGACTGACATACCGTCTTCGCTCAGAATCGTTTTTCTTATACAATGATATTGTATCATTGAATTCAAATTTAATACCATCCATTATACAGTGACCCACTTGCAACCTACTGTACAGCAGAGCGACATCCACTTACCCACCTTTTTTTTTTTTAAATGTGAGTTTTTTATCCTTATAATTTTGGTGAAATCAGAAATTACCTATTGTAATTACTGTATATTATATATTTATATTATTAATAAAGAAATTTAATAAAACAAACTCCCGATGGATGGGAATTCGCAAACTCGTGTATAACGTTGAAACTAAGTCCGATCGACAAATTCTGTTTGAATCACTGATTGTTCTTAACTCATTGAACAAAAAATGTTTCCAAAAAAAAAATTTCAAAATCTAACCACATTTAAGGGTCATAAACTCATAAATATTGAACCAAAATGATAGGTTCCTTACATTTTAAGAAATAACTTTTTGGGGGGGCGGAAAAATATGTTGCCCGGGGACGCAAAATGTTCAAATACGGCCCTGAGTAAATCGTATTCCATATTGATATACTATAATAATATATAATATAAAATTAAATTCACTTCCCAATGTTTCAATAGATATTTATAAAATTAACTACTGTAGATATTTAGTTAATTTACTGTTTATACTATTATATAGTTATTACTTATTAGTATTTAAATTATCAAATGTACAATTTAATGCAGATTGCCAACTAACTATACTTAGTTCCTACTTTTTCTGGTTTAATTTCAATATATTATACTTGTGTAATTCTTTCAACAAAGATAAAGATAAACCTTGAAGTGATTAGCGTACACGTCATTTCATTGATTTTTCTTAGTCGAAGTCGTATAAACAATATATATAATATACTATTTTTATATTTATAGTATTATTTTTAATAACAAACAGACCACCTTATTGCTGAGAAAACACAAATATGAACAATTTGTAAGAGCAAACAACAGGCTACAATATTATTATACTAGAAGATTATATACATTTTGTGTCGATGTATTGCTATAAGCTCCGCAGTAGTTCCGGCATCGTCGTCGATGCCACAAAGATAAAAAAGAAGAAATAAATGTATAGTTAATATTACGATGGACGTCGATCGGAGATACATATTATAATTTTAACAAAACACACAGATCAGTCGAATATTTTATTTTGGAGTAGAATATTTGTAGAGGGCGAATCGTAAACGCGGGTATAGGGTATCCTAAACGGCGGATATCGCGGAGCAGTTTTCCTGGAAATGACATTGGCCTGCAGCAGTTATTAATATTATGCTCAAGCGATCGTCGTTTAATGTGCCCTCTCCTCGAGTTTTCGCCGCGTGTCACAGTCGTATAACAAAATCCGAAAAAAAAAAATGTAAAAAAATCCATAAATTCCTCTCGGCAGAAGAAAACAAAATACCTTCACCCCTCCAAGCGTAAACCCGTGCTCGCGTTTATTTCTGCGGTAATGTAAGTATTATACCTAACTACGCGATTGGCCGTACGATAATAATTATACGTAGGTACAACTTGCGACGTCACACATCAACCGGTGTTCTCCATACCGGTTAAACCCGACGGATGTTCAGTAATAATAATAATAATAATAATTCTCAGCACATAATATGTAATATATAAACATTGAAACGATGGCAGTCGCACAGTTTGCCGCGGTTAGCACCGGTATCGGTAGGTATAATAATATTATTATGTACGTATAACACTATACGTTGCTCAACACTTACAAATATTATTTGTACAATAATATTGTACAGGGAAAACGTCATAAATCTATCAGAAAAGCCGAGGACTCGTGTACACGTGATATTTCGTTTTTTTTATTTTTGTTCGTATGTGTGTTTCGGATAGTGTTTTTCAAACGATTAGCTAATAATAATTATATACATAGTACAATAATTACTATCCACCCACGAGGAATAACACTTCTACCGATCGTGTACCAGAAATATTGAACCAGTAAGTACCAACACCAGGGATTAAAGTGAGGGTGGGACTCAGGAGGACTCGGTCCCCCTACCGGCCCTACCTCTGATGGTGATTAAAAAGCGACCCCTTTAACAAATTAGGATTTTATACATTAGACATTATACATAAAAGTATATATGGAACGCTTAAAACTATATGGAGACATTAGTCCCCTCTGGAATTTTTTCCAAATTTAACCTCTGACCAACACGGAGTAATAATTAGTATAATATCCTACCCGACATAACTCGTATTTAGAATAACGCTTAGACATTATTGCACTGGGCACAATAATATTCTCAATCGGAAATAAATATTTTAACGAAACCGCGAATACTGCACCGACGAAATGCACGAAAACTGAAAATCCATTTATTGTGTTGAGTTGGTAAATTTAATTCGTATTATTATAAACAAACATGAAATAATCTCAACTGCATAACTAAATTCAAGTTCGTTGTTCAAACAACTTCATTATGAGATAGATAACAATCACTTTGTACTTACAAATAACTTATTAGTATGAATAGGTAGTAAAAATATTTCATTAAAATAACGATTGAAGGACGAATCGGTAGCTATAAAACTGGTTTGTAATATCAAAATAATATATTATGAGTTTAGTCATACAATCACACAGTTAATTTTGAATATCTAAATCTGCTGTATTTTTAATAATATAATATTTTTCTTTTTATATTTATCCATGGTAAATCATGAATTAATACCGTGTTGTTAGCAATTATTATCGAAACATATTTTTATACTCAACATTATCACAAAATTCACATAACATAAATAAGGTTTAGCATTTATATTGATAAGATTCAGTACCTATATCGTTCACATTCAACATCAACAAACACTGTTGGTGTACATTATTTTCCTATTATTTACGAGGTAAAATTATTCATTAGGTACATCTATAAATATTTTTACCATTCATAGGATCAGTAAGTATGTGTAACGATTTTCTCAATTTTAGCAAATTTCTCAATACTTAACCAGTAGTAAATGTATTATGCATAATACATATTGATTAGTACATCCGATTATTGCAAATTACTATTATAACAGTAATTGTTGTACGAATAGGTTTTATCTATAATATGGAGTGCATTTTATTGAAATTATTCTCCTAAGTTATAATAGATAATTTAATTATATCATTTGTCATTACAAATTGGGATTCTGACAGTTCTGTCCAGACGAATAAATTATTATTATTATTATTATTGAATTTGAACACGCTTTTATATTTCCGATTTTTCTACTAGATACTTAGGTACTTACATAAATATCACTTAATTAATGGAATTTACAACAATATTGAGTGAATTATTATTATTATTTTTTTTTAAAGAAACGAAATTAGTATACAAAATACATAATAAACGATCAATTCGGTATGCTAAGTGCTGATAAAAAAAAACTTTAATACAACATAACATTAAACTGTTGCATCGATACTGAAAAATTATAAATTTTGTAACTGAAAGACTTTTATTGTCTAAGTGTTAAATTCACCTATTATTTTAAAATAAATACAAATAGTTTGAATTTTAAAGTAGCTATTTTGATAGACTATAATATTGTTCGTTATGACCGTATAGATAAATAATGTTTGTTTGAATACAAGGAAGATATTCATGTTTATAATACTATAAGACTTTAGTAATACATTTATTGTTTTTGGTTTTCAGTTTAAAAATGAGAAAAGAAAAATGTTTTATAATTTTAACATGCGTGCTTGGAATGGCAACATCTCAGTCCAGTAATGGTGAGTCATTTAAAAAAATATATTAATATATTAATAAATTATATAAAATGGCTAAGGTTATATTATAAAAGTTTAAAATATAGTTTATTTTAGTTATATATAATCTGTGAAAATTGTATGTAGTTTAATTCAATGTACAATATATTCGTGATATATAGTATATACCTATGGTAGCATATATGTATCTAACATAATCGAACCTGTCCTGACTAGCTATAAGGACTTGAAATTTTCATGGTACCTTTATACTGTTATGTAAGGGTGCACTAAGAAAGGTTTTTTCAAATTTAGAATTTCTTAAAGCTTTAGAAGTGCTTTAAAAGGATGTTGAGATTCACGATGGATATCTAAAATTATTTTTTTGTTTATTAATGGTCGTCATTGGTTACTCTGATAGATGAGGTAAATGCATGCAACAAATCGTCTCGTTTATTACCTCAAATAAAGAAATTACATCTTAAAATAAATATGAGTGTTGTATTGTTGTAGTGTTGTATTGTATGTATGTTGAATGTATGTTTGTAGCTTATATACTCAAAAACTACTCAACCGATTTTGATAAAAATTTCAAATTGTTCTTAGATATATTAGGAAAGTTTAGAAAGTAGTTTTGACCACGTTCGAAAATAGACCAAGTTCAACCTAAATCTAATCCATCTCTGACAAATTATCCATCTCGGTCTAATTAGTTCATAAAGCGAGGTAAATTGATGACGATTTGCACATGAACTGAGGTACACTAAAACTAAGATACACTTATCTAGTGTTATATTAGTTCATTAATTCGAGAACGAATAAAATGTTCGTGAATACAAATTGCTATATACTTATTATTGTCTGTACCGTAATAGTAAAAACAAAGTATAAAAAATTGTATTTAGTGAGTGCCAATATATTAGCAATCAAACAGGAAACCGGTCAATGCATCACAATAATTTCCTAACCTTATTCTATTGTCCGCGGTTCTGTAAGAAGGAGTTCTTCCCCCCACCTTCCACTTTAATTTCAAACGTTCCCAAGGGCGTCGATAAATGTTCAATCTACCGAAAAATCAAAGCTTTATTTACTATTTTTAGATTGTCAACGTAGGTGGTTCCTAATTTTTTTTTATTATTTTTAATATAATATGGACTCCGATATCGGTTCAAAATTACATAAACTCGTGTATGGACAAACAAATATTGTACATAACTTTTTATTAATTACTTAAATAGTTAAATGTACTAAAATACTTCTGGCCAGGTGATATGTTGAAATATTATATATAATATGTAGGTATTGTTAAAAAAAGTCAGTGAAAAGTCTATTTGATCTAGATTCCATGCACTTACATTAAATCAAATACAATAACTAATAAGTAAATCGAAACTGGATGTATTCAAAGTCAAAACCATTTGATTAATAAATCGTGGACATTCTATCAGACCTCTAATTAATTAATAAGTTAGGAAGGGTAAGTTTGTTGATTTTATTCGATTCCACCTTAAACTACCTATAATCTGTATAGCTCCAAAAATATATTTCTTTAATCTTTACCACGGTCTTATACGTATGTTATACAGGCTTATTGTTATTTGTGTTATCTATATTACTTCAATGTATACTCGATGTATAGAATGACCGAAGCGTCGGGTAAGTTTCCACACCACCTGTATGCTTGTTAAACGACATTATATCACATCGTCTATGTTGACATGTTGTTTAAAAGCATCATGAGGTATTACAAGTAGCGCTTTTTTTTTATTGTGGTATCCCCGGTAAGTCTAATCCACATCGCAAGCGATAACACTCTAACGCCGGTCGACTACAATAATATTGTAATTTACATAGATTGGTACAGCGAAAACTGCACTACTCTTGTATAACATTTTTCGCTATTTATACATAGATAAAACATAGTTTAATATAAATATAAATAAATATCGAATTTAAAGTTGAATAGGTTTTAATTTCAAATTTTAAATTTTGTCGAACACGGCATTCGCATATTTTCAGCTTACTATAGCGTTGAATTTTAGTGTGTTTCAGCCTTTGAAAAGGGGAGCTGGCTAGGCCGAGTGATTTATATTTGTCTCATATCATTATAATAAATCCACGAGGAGTAAAAAAATACAGCAATTTTAAATTATTAGGATGATATCCCCCCGATCCTTATTTAAAATTCAACACTGTCCTAATATTAAAACTATAACTATATTACGATTACTATTATTATTATATTAACTATCATATTTTTATTATATATACTATTATTTATTTCTTATTATTTAGAGATTACTAAAGTCCTATTTCTAAGTCTTCTACCATTCATTATTCCTATTGGACCTCTTTATTCATCCTGTTTTAAATGTCGTGAAACTCATTCACAAACAATTTTACGGTCCTGAAACAAAGTGTTTATTTTGTGTGTGTGACACAGGCTGGCAAAAGTGGCGATATGTGTTTAGTGTGGAGATGAAATGGTGAGGGAACGTCGAACGTCAATATTAAATTAATACATTTTACAAAATACTTAATACATAAAATCATCTTACTTGGTTTAGGCATCTATATCGTTTAGCTTACTTATGCGCCGACCAAGACTTATATCAAAATAATTCTTTATCGTCACTTGGGCTTAATAAATTTTCTTTAAAGTTGGTCGGATGTTGAAACATTGTAGGTGAATAAAAATATTTGCTTCTTCAGATCTGTGGCCTGAGAGATATAATCCTTAGTTAATAATATTGCATTCATTGTTGATGTGTGTGAGTCTAAAAATCTAAATAGTGTAATTGTTTTATGTTGAAAATAAAAAGAACTTATACTTTACGAACAAAAAGAAACTTTTAGAAAATACAAATTACAACAATAATCGGAAAATATAAATATTACTAATGAAAGTAAAAACTTATGTATTATAATATTAAACAAACTATGTATTTTGAACAAAATTAAAACGGTAATAACATTAATAAGAAAATCAATAACTAGGCAGTATACTATTGAGCCAGCATATCTATTATTTATTATAATAATAAATATGAATAACTTGATTGTGTACAGTGGCGTGTATCATAAAAAAAATTGGTGTTGCTCAAATAATTTTAGTAGACCTACCCCTCATAATACTGTAATACCGGCCTATAAAATTACCTATTTTTTCATCTATAAACACCCACCCACCCTTATTTAAGGTGTTGCCCGAGCAACACTTAGACGCTATGTTACACGCCACTGATTGTGTATGTTAGTTTATATTGTGTTCGGGCCAACACACGATACAAAAAATTAATATCAAGTAGACATAGAGCTCCATTAAAGTTGCCCCTATTTACATCCATAGTGCATGTAGTATTTAAAAAAAAAAACTGCTTAACAAGAAATTATCTATCTAAGTCTTCCTGTTTAAAGCTTTTCTAATTCTAGTTCAATAAGTCTAAGTTAAAAAGTACCTACTCAACTGATAAACTGAATAGAAATAATTGTAATGGCATTATTGATTAGGGTATAATTAGGAGATAGGAGAGGTGGACCACGTAGTCCAGAAGTCTGAACTAGCGGTAATTTAAATAAATACAATTTACTGGACGAAAAATTATGTAGTATAGTCACAATTTAGCATTTACTGTTACTGTTTCACAAAAATATTAAAATATAAGTACCTATATAAATATAAATTTGAAATTATTGTTAATAGATATTTACAGTGTTAAGGGGAAATTATACAGGAAATCTTTATAATTTGTGCACCCTTAAAAATATTGGTCTAGTTGAGCCTATGGTGTTGGAAATAAATTGACATAGGTATGCCCTGAACCAAATATAAAGATATTATCACTGATAATTATAATTTTTTAATTGTGTATAGAAAAAAACAATAGTCGTAATGGTGCTGTATATAATTGAGTGTACTCTCTGGCCGGTGTCACTAGTTCCTAGATGGGTGACCACCAGGGATTTTTAGTGACAATTCCTTGTCACACATACACACACGTGTAACGTGTTCAAACCAACAGTACCCTTCACTCAGGAACTAAATTGTTTTAGAATATTATAATACCTATAAGATATATGATCAGAAAAACTGATAAACGGCAGATTTTTTTAAACGTAGGTACAAACTACAGTTTGTTGATAGTTAACAAATCGTTACAATTTGTTGATACTCCTACAAAAATATTTTATTCGGCGTACCTAAGTAGTAAATATTTAACTAATATTTGCTTTTATTTTCATCAACAGAATGTAAAACTCCAAATCAGGAAAATGGTGTTTGTATCGACATTAAGCGTTGCCCAAAGTTATTAAATCTATTAGAAAATCAAAGACAAGTGCCGTCCGTTTTAGTCTTCCTTAAGAAATCCTTTTGTGGATTTGAAGGAGAAGATTACAAAAGAACAAAAGTGTGTTGTGCTTTGGAAAATAATGTAGAACCAACAGTACCAAAAGCACCGGTAGCACCAGTAAAACCAGCAGCACCAATAGCACCAATAGCACCGGTAACAAAGCCAAACGTAGAGAACAACATTCAGACAACGAACAACGGCGAGGCAAAATTACCATTGCAATCTAGGTGCGGAATAACCAACGTCACCCGCAGTCGAATCATCGGAGGGACGCCAGCGGAATTAGGTTAGAACTTAAAAATAATTTTTTTTTATTATTAGAAAACAAGAATATATACAATCTGTAATAATTTATACAATAGATAATATGGGGGTTACAAGTATACAAGAAGCGACGGCATTATATAAGGGGGGGGGGTCCAATGACCCTACTTCAAAATTTTTAACAGGTTTTTTTTTTTTATTAAATGGTTATTGTCCCTGGGCCAATTTTGTTTGAGACGGCGAGGTGGGTTATTAGGAAGAGTAAGAGAGGAGAGGTTTGAAATTAGGGGATTTGAGTGATTGAAAGTGTTTTTGTGGAATGATTTATAATAGTGGGTGGCAAGTGTATGAATGGTTGGGATTTTGAGGTCGGATTGGATGAATCCCGGAATAAAAATCCCCCGGAAAAAAAATCCCCGGAAAAAAAACCCCTGACGAACAACCCCGGAAAAAAAATCCCCGACCCTAGGAAAAAAATCCCCAGACTACAATATTACTCACAACCTCATGCAAATGGTTGAACAAATATTTTTTTAACGTTAATTAGTATCTATAATTACCTGTTCTTCTTTTGTCAATTCTAATAATATTGCATGTGGTACATTACTCACAGACTCAGCAAATATTTGACTCGGTGTTGCATGTGATATTTGTGCTTTTTTCTTCATTGAATTTTGTAATTTTAAAGCAGCGACTGCATTTTTATTAGAATCATGTACATGGTCATGATCAAGACCAACAAATATTGGATTTTCAATATTTAAACTAGTCTTAAGTACACTCGGACATTTTAAAGAGCTAAATTTAGAACATCGCCAACGTAAAAAATTTGAACACTCTTTTTGAAAATGATAAATAAAGCCGATGTGCGTAATTTTAGGTTTTTTACCATTAGTTTTTAAAATTTTCAGCGTTTCCATAGCGTTGTCGTTTTGTGTATCGTGTACTAAATTTGTAGCTAAATTTGTAGCTAAGATAACGAGTATCCAAATTATGTTCTTGAGCCCATTACAGATTAGATAGGTAGGTGTAACCTTTTAGTACATACTAAACGGCTTATCGTCAAAATGTCACAGAAAACGCAATATTTTATTTCGGGGATTCAATTTTTACAGAATTATACCAACATAAAATATATAGGTACCTATATTTTGTATAATATTTTTGTATACTATGTTTTTAACTGTATTATTAATTGACGTATCGATCATTCTAAATATTTTTATAATTTTTTTAACAATATAATATAATATATTATATTATAATATAATATAATATACGTATTTGTCATTAAATATTAATTATAGTTACTAATTAACGTTCAAAATATATTTGTTCAACCATTTGCATGATGTGATTGTGAGGAATATTGTAGCTGGGGATTTTTTTTCCTAGGGTCGGGGATTTTTTTTCCGGGGTTGTTCGTCTGGGGATATTTTTTCCGGGGATTTTTTTTCCGGGGGATTTTTATTCCGATTACCGGATTGGATGGAGGGATTGCTGACTACCATGGGGGTAAAAATAATTATAAATTAAAAACGAATTTTTTGATTATAATACAAGCAACTGTTATCACGTTATTTTATAAAATATTATTATTACACTCATATTTTATAATTGATTACATTCAGTTTATTGTCGTCGACGGTTAAAACAATATGTTGTCGCCTGTCCACCGAATCGCATTGCATTTAACATAATATTCTATTATTATTTAGGCGCCTGGCCTTGGATGGCAGCCCTCGGCTATCAGAGTTCAAATCGAAACAATCGCGCTACACAGTGGCTTTGCGGCGGCACATTGATATCAACTTCACACGTGCTGACAGCTGCACATTGCGTATACAATGTCCCTTTAAAACTGTAAGCAAACCAATGAAGTCCTCGCACGAAATCGTTGTATTAAATTATAAGCATACTAATTGTACGAATAATGATTTGATTTCTCAGGACTACTGTACGGTTAGGTGAGTTGGATTTAAATCCTACGGTCGACGACGGTGCAAGGCCGATAGATGTTCCTGTTAGTCGTATCGTCATACACGCGAAATACCACCCACAAGAACTTACCAGTGACATTGCACTGTTGAAGTTAAAAAATATTGTTACTTATAACGGTGAGTTTATAAATAATATCGCTGTTCATTAATCTATACCTATATAGTGAGCTATATCACTGTACGGAAGTCTTAACACTTAATTTGCAAAGTCTAGTACACGATATAAGTGGCTGTAATAAGAAACTATAATATTGGTATATTTTATAAATTTTGTTGCGTAATATATATATATATATATTTTGTTTAGTATTTATACAACCCATTTGTTTGCCAATCACTCCAACTATGAGAAACGCAGATATGTCGAGAAGTTTGCCATTTGTTGCCGGTTGGGGTACTACTCAACCTAATCCCAGTGAACCTCCCAGTAAGTATTAATTAGTAAGAATAGCTACATAAGTTATAGGCCGGAGATAAAACTACTTATAATATTTTATTGAAAACCTTATGCATTTATATTTATAAATATAGGTACCTTATTTTATCCAAAATTTTAATTAAACTTTTTTTATACCAGTTGCTTTGTCATTCGTTTTTAAGAAATGGATGAAACAAATTAGCTTGGAATTAAAGAGTTCTATAACAAAAAAATTCAAAAATGGTTTTTTTATCTGTTCGGTCAAGAATTATTTTTTTCTATTTTTTAGTCTTAGAAAAAGTTTCTTAGAAAAAAGCTCTATGTGATCCTTTTCCAAACAATGTGTTGGATACATCGATAGAATATTTTGTTTTTAACTTTATATTTAAATCAAAAAGTTTTATTTAATAAACTTTATTTGTTGTTATTTATAAAAATTTGCGCATTTCACACACCACCCTACTAAAATACCGAAATAGGTACCTATCCTAGATAATCAGGTCAATACCTATAATATTGCACAAAAATAAAGCACATAGTTAAAATTAAGTTAGAACAAATCAATTAGTTTGGAATCAATATGTTTTATCGATAGAACGTTATATTTTTAAAAAATAGAATTGGGAACAAAATGTTCTATCAGTAGAACCATCAGTATAATTTTAAAGTTATTTAATATTTGGAGTACTTAAAAGGATTTATTTTTGCAATACTTATTAATACTTATAAATTAATAGAACGGAAGTTTGTGGATTTTTTGATGCCAAATATTTCAAAATCTCTTGTGCAAAAATATGTTATTTTAATTTTTAAATCTTAAAAACGCTCTACTGAACAATTTTGATATTGTCACATAGAACTCTTTGATTCCAAGCCCGCTTGATGGCAAAACATTTATAGACTCATGAAAACATAAAGATTCTGTTTTTAGGCGTGTAGGTATCTACAGTTTATTTTATTGTGATCGTGATATTGTTAAAATAAAATAAAATAGATTTCATTATGAGGATTTGATATTTTGAAGATCGATATTATAGTCACCACAAAATGCCAATACATTTCAGTATTTCAGTCGCTAAAAAATGAGTAAAATGAGTAAAATAATTATTTTAATTATTAAGGTTTTCCACCCGTCACTACATTGATGGAAGTTCAAGTTCCAATGTCTAGAATGGCGGAATGTAAAGAAGCATATTCAAAACAAAAAGCTGTAATTGATGACAGAGTTTTATGTGCTGGATATCCAGAGGGAGGAAAAGACTCATGTCGGGTAATTATCTCATTAAATTTCATAATATAGAAATTAGAAATACAGAAATTTCCAATTTTTAAATTTTTCATTGATTTCAGGGTGATTCGGGAGGTCCATTAATGATGCCAAAAGGAAAACAATACTTTTTGATGGGTATAGTGTCTTACGGATTAACAATTTGTGGCCAACCAGGTTTCCCAGGCGTGTACACTAGAGTACCTTCATACATTGATTGGATTGTTGAGAAAATAAACGAAAACTGAGTTTCCTACACTCATAACTGAAAACTTTCTTAATATTATTTATATTTCCATGCGTTAAGAAGACATTTTTTAATGATTTATCAATATAATTATGTCATGGAATGTTTGTCTGTCTGTAATTTTTTTTTAAATGTATTATTTACTATTTAGTAGGTATTATTTTCGACAGTTACTTATGACATGTAATCAATTATTTATACAAATTATTAGATTTTTTCATCCAGACTAATATAAGAATGATACTGAAAATCAAAAAAAATTTAGTTTTTTAAGGTTTTAATTTTAGTATTGTAAGCTTATTGAATCCTTTACTTTATATAACATCTAGGGCCACTTCGGGGTAATCAGTATGTCTTTATCCAGTGAAAGTGGCCAACCTCTTGTAATGTTATACTATACAAAATATACATATGAACTTTTTAGATAAATACACACATGATAGAGCCGCGTTATGTATACAGTATTTAAAACATTTCAAGTTAAATTTAAAAATACATCCTTTTATAATGATAAACTTAAGTTTTCCTCCAAAGTTACAACATAAAGATGATACTTAATTAGTTATAGAACAAGTCTGACGTCGATATAAGTGCAAAACAACAGATTCGGTGTTGATTGTAAGTTAGGCCCACCTCCATCCATCACCCAAAATTGCATAGTTATTTTGCAGTTGAATTGTTTGTACTAGTACACACGTGGTTTTTAATAGATTCAAACTTCAACCACGCAGACGCCCATAAAAAGTGGTTGAACTGTGTAATGTTCAATTATAAATTTTTGGACCAGTTGCATCATGTCCGCCTTGGTCTACTCCTCTAACTACTTTCGTCTCCCTGCAAAGTCCAAACTTTATTCTAATTAAGTATTAAATCGAATCATTTACTATTCTCATAATACAAGTTCATATTATTATTTAAGTCAATTTTTTTTGTGAAAATGACCTATCGGCTATTACCGTTAAACCTCAATCGTGAAATTGTTGCCAGCTGTTGTTACTATATTATATTATAATGTGTTGATGTATCATGTAACAAATTTATTTTTCAAGACATGATAGTATTGAAATACATACAAATTAATATCAGTATTAATAAAAATGATTTATTGGCAAGATTTATTTAATTAAACAGAAAAAAATATTTGTAAAGAGTACGTATACATAGTTTAAATTTCAAACAATTGAAAGGTTTTTAAGCGGTAAATTAATAAAGAGTCAAAATAGTAATAATTATCTGTTTAACTCTTGGTTGGCGACTGTATAAATATTATAAATTAACAAATTGTCTTGAAAATAGTAATTACTTTTATTTTGGAAGCTGGCTTTATTATATATTAATATGTATTGATGAACTATACTAATGCGATATTTGTATTTTATTTTATTGTAACTGTAAAGTTATCTTAGTTTATACCTACTAGTGGCTTGTAAAATAATAATAAAAAATATACAAATTGTCTTTTAAATTTATTCGACAAACTGACATTGAACAGACGCTGTGTCTGTCTGACATTAAAATATCTATTTTAGTATTATACAAATCTAGGTATCTGGTATATAAATATTCGTATTTATTGGGCCAATGAAAAATTTTGGTATACGTGTGTTTTTATCATAGCTAAATTATTCAATAGTACAGAAAGCTAATAAATTGACGAATTAAAGTCAAATCAATTTGATTGTAGATACCTCCTATGCAAATAATTTATTATTTTTTTTTCTTAAGAAAAAAGATCTGTCGGCATGCCTATTATGTATGCAACTTACTATATTAATATCATGTATAAAAAATAGGGGAAGTGGATGTCGCTCTGCTGTACAGTAGGTTACAAGTGGGTCAATGTATAGTGGCGATTGTATTAAATTTCAATTCAACGATATAATATCATTGTATAAGAACAACGATTCTGAGCGGCAACGGTTTGTCAGTCTGGATTTTTATATTGTTATTATTGATTATGGCCTGTAAGTTGAATTAATATATAATATTATAATTTTTTATTCGTATTCCTGTGGTGATAAGCAAAGCGTTAGAAATTAAAATCCCATGTTTAGCAGTTTTTCGTAATTTTTAGGTAGTTTTTCCCGTGGCATTAAATAACTAGTGCAAGTCCACTTGATCCAGATTTTCTAAAGATAAGGAGGTACGAATATTGAAATCGAGCACTAATTCTGTAGAAATATTGGGTAAAGGAGAAAAAAAAAAACACCATCTGCTCCAAAATCTAAGCAACATGTAAATATGTGGTGAAATAATAAGTGCCTAGTATCTGAGAGGTTGTTTTTTAATAATTAACACGATTGAGAACGCTTGATATTTTTATTTTTTTTTCAACGTTGCCAAATGTAATCGAAAGATAATTTGAGCACGATAATCGGCTATCGAACGATAAAGAACGTTTGCCTTTTTGGCTGAACGATTGATCCGGTTGATAGGTATTTAATATTTATCGGACGTTTATCGGATGTTATTTATAACTTAGATACCAGATATACGAGAGAATGACTTAATAGGCGTTGTAGTCGTCGCACAAACGTCAACGAAGTATTCGTCAGTTTATAAAATAGCAACGATAGAACAGGGTAAAAAAAAAGAAATGCCAATAAAACAAAAGAAAAAATTAATTAATATTCATAATAAATATATGTGGTATGTAGCAAATAAATGTTCTAGTAATTTATTAAAATATTTAGAGTATGTTGGATTACGCTATCCCGCTATAACTAATTTATAGGTAACTCATTTGTCATTACTTGTTACTTATTTATTACATTTTTTTAATTTTTTTTTTACATATTTATTACATATTTTAATAATTCTAATTTTTTTTTTTAATTTTTTAAACATATTTATATTACATATGACTTTTTTCAAGAATATTTGTTAAATGATAAATAATGAATGATATGGCAACGTTGCACGTAAATTCGTTCTCAATCGTATTCTTTTTGGGGTTTTTTTGGGGTCAGTGGTAAGTTCTTTGTTATTTTTAAGTGTTCTCAATCGTTCGGCCAAAAAGGTGTAACGTTCTCAATCGTTCGATAGCCTTATAAGAAAATAAGAAAATCTTTTGATAAAAAAGATATTTTATGCGTGATTGCGTGAATTTCACATTTTTTCACAAATTTCACATGACTGGGGCTGCATACAATTCTCCAATTAGCTTCAAAACTACTTATGTAGTACCCTGATTCATACTTAGATATCTCATCTCACACAACTCCTATAAACTAAACCCTGAATAGATACTTAATAGACTTCACAGAGTTCCATGTTAATGTGACCTATGAATAGGTACCTACGGCTAGAAAAAGTCTGCCATTAGAGTAGTCTGTTGTGCTGTCATGTATAATACCTGATCAACACTTTTTTTTCTACCGATTCATCCGGGATAGTCGAATTGCACTTATTACCTACAAACAAATGGTCAAATTGCACTCGGGTAAAAAAAAGGTAGTGGCCGAACTGCACTCGGGTAAAAACCAGGTAGTGGTCGAACTGCACTCGGGTAAAAACCAGGTAGTGATCGAATTGCACTTGGACATTTGAAGGGGTTAGGGCTAACACTCATTTTCCTTCCCACTTACAGGCTTAGGACTGACAATGATTTTAATCATTGGCGTGGTTAAAAATGATTGTTTTAGACATCACATTATGTTAATTATATATATTTACATTATAATTATTCTATTATACATCATATTATATTTTATTATACTATACATATTATTGTTATTATAAAACATTTTTTTTTTTTAATCGTCAAATTTAAGTATCGTCATTATTATATATATATTTTTTTGTCCTTTCGATTATTTTTTGTAGTAATGACTAACTGTATTCAAAAATTCTAGCCTGATAATACGCTTTTGAGTATATAAGTCAATATATTTTTCAATATTATTTATTTTTTTCTGATACCGTGTCGTTGATGGTCTTGTGTCAGTATTCTGCATTAAAATGTAGGTATCGATTTGTAATTGAGTTAAAACATCAATGAAAACAAATATATTTGGATGTGGCGATGAAAATGATTTATTGAACTTCGCGTGGAAAGACTCGCATGCATTAGTAGTTCTTTGACTAGAAATCGTATCTGAAGCCCAAATATGAGGCGGAAAAAGTCCTTCGTCAGAAATATAATTATCAACTAAATAGTCACTAAAATCTTGAACTGCTTGATTTTCTGGGATAGTTGACATAAAATCTTCTGTATAAGAATCGCCAACTTCAACTGCATTTAAAAAACTTAAACCAAATATATTACGAAGCCATTTTCCAATTTCATTTTCAGATTTGTAATCAGTTGAAAGTCCTAAATTTTGTATTTTACGATACCATGATTGTGATAAGTGGAATCTACAACCTATTATTTTACTTAAAGGAAACATTTCATTGATTGCATTATGGATTGCTTGCTCAAAATCTGCTACAAATAAATTTGGTTTAAAAATTAAACCAAATTCATTGCACTTTTCAGTAATTATTTCAAACATTTTTTTATACGTATCTATAGTTTTATTTGGGAGCAAAGCGAATATTAATGGTACATAATAATTATTGTGAACTGTATGTAGTGTGAACATTTGATAATAAAATTTTGGGCAATGTGAAAATGTGCCATCCACAAAAATAATCGTTTTTTTCACATATATATTTTAAATTTTTTTCTATTGAAAATATTATAATGTTATATGCAGAATTGTTATCTAGTAAAAAATCTTCATCAATATTTGTTTTAATTTCTAATTTGCTAATAGTGTCATGTGTGTCATTAAGAGATTTTGGTAAAATCGGATAGTTTTTCCGGTGTTCATGATATATATTTTTTCGTATTCGATTTATGTCTTTACTATTTAATAATTGTGTTAACTCTACTGGAGCGTTAACAATTTCTTCCCTAATAATTTTTAATGGTTGATAAATACCTTGGTCAGCTGCTTTTCTCTTTGCTGAATTTGAAATCATTTTCCGAGGTAAATTAAGTGGTTTTTCATGGTTGTGTATTAACTCACATCGAAAAATTACTTTAGAACATTCATCTAAATATAGTTTTGAAAGACAACCACGATGAGTACAACGCCATTTAACACCATCATTTACATGTTTTTCTTTGTAAAACGAATAATTTTGGTACACGATTAAGTCACGGCCTCGCTCACTTTTAATAATTTCTAAATTGTTCATACTTACACCGCGACGTAAAAGTGTGTACTAACCTAACCTTTACATAGGTCTACATAGTACACGGTATACAATATAAGTATTAATCTTATACTTTTATTGATAACTACCTATTTATTGTCCAGTTAGGTTAGATTCTTTTGTCGATTTTTGGTGACAATAATATTATCTGCGTTATCTAAATGGCACGAACTAATATATATAATGCTATTAAATAAGTACGCCGTAGCGTTTTTCAACATAAACATAAAGCAGTTCAAGATTTTAGTAACTATTTAGTTGATAATTATATTTCTGACGAAGGACTTTTTCCGCCTCATATTTGAGCTTAAAATATAATATAATATAAAGTATAATATAATAATTATAGGAAAATGAGTGTGAACCAAATGTTGAACCCCTTCAAATGCATGATAATTTTATTGAAATACTTTTTGAGCCCAAGTGCAGTTCGACTATTACCTTTTTTTTACCCGAGTGCAGTTCGACCATTACCTTTTTTAAATCCAAGTGCAATTCGACCATACCCGATTCATCGTGCCTTTTTATAGAACCTCTTTGTAGATAATGTTTTTGGTTCGCCCCTCATCAGATTAAACATTTTTCTATTAAGATTAAACGTTTGGAGTTTTTGAACGATGTAAAACGATATATATTCTAAATGTAAACCATGGCACACAGGTACCTAGGATTTTGGCGCTTTTGTACAATAGAACTCTTTTTTTTATCTCATTTTGGCGCTTATGTCTTCCACCGTATAATTTATTGTGTTATAATGTAACGAGTAATGTTCTTAGCGTATTCTATTTAAAAATATTGAAAATATTTTGTCATAATAAATTGTTTCGTGACTACCTCTAGTAAAAATAAAAATCGAGATTTTACTTTGTAAACAAAAACCACAACCCCCCCTTAATTATTTGCTCTTCCCATACGTGATCTCGTCATGGCAGACACTATTTGTGACGTCACATGGCGGTTTCTTGCATACCTGTTCTGCTTCGTACTCATATGAGGTTTCGATACAACCACGTTCGTAGATTCGGATCGTCTTGTTACACAGTTATCCATAACTATACTAACGTATCGTATTAGAGATCCGATTAAAATATATTGAAGACGTCGCTCATAGGAAGGAAGAAAACTATCGACTCAGGTATAATATAGTTTTTTAAATAATTTAGATCCTTCAAATATGTGATAGACAAAATATCACAGGTTATTTCTTGACAGGCGATGAATAATAGAATATCAATCGTTTCAAGTTTCCCAAAAATCGTATAGTAGGTACCTAATCTATTTTTGATGTTGAATATTTTTAATCAAACATTTAGGATCAAAATATATTGCTCAAAGTAATACAAAATATAAACAGGGTTCGGTAGTTATGATTGAATTTTAAGGTCGATGGTAATCAAGCACCAGAATAAATTGTGCTTTGGTGTAGTGTGGAAAGTGGACATACCCTAGGGTGACAAATTACCATAATATGTCTGGTTTTCAAGCTTTATATTCTCTTGTTAGATATGTCAAACGCTTTTTGTAGAAAATAGTCTCGTTTTAATCCCGTTATCTCCAGATTAGTATACTTACATAAAAGATATAACCTATACATGAGATTGTAGTTCACGTATTTAAGTTCATTATGTCTCAAAACAAATGTATATTTTACTTTGAATGTTCTACAGTTATAATTAAAGAATATTAAAATGCAAAAAGTCCCAAACTTTGGTCTCGAATTCCCATAAATAATTGTGTGTAATGATCATAATATGAAGCATATTATATTGATGTATTGAACAGCGTAATTCTGAATCCTGACAATCCAAAAACTCACATTACCTAACAGGGAAATTTCGTATCAAAATTATTTAAAAAATTTTAAATCATTTTTTAGGACCAAACTAAAAATTATTTGTTCAATTTTTTTCTATAAATATGGTCATCATCATAGACTATACAAAAACCTACTTACAACGAAATAATACATTGTTCGAGCTTATAATTATCACCAAAGTTCGTATTTTAAGACTATAATATTGTAACGTGGTCGGATAACCTATTATTACGATTTTAGTTATCCAGGGAAGAATTTCCCTTGTGGATCAGTTTTCTTTAGCTAGGTTTGAGCACTTGTACAAGAGGTGTTTATCAATCAAAAATAAATTCAAAACATACGTATGGTTTACACATTTTGAAAAATTATTAATATACTTTAAATAGTACTTTACTGTGAAATGTATTTTGGAAGATGGCTGTTAATCATATTGTATATTTGATATCGCTCATGTTGATAGTGACTGTCTGATCATTTTAATAATGAAAAACAATTTGTGTTGAGTCAAAAAGTGTCGACTATGACGTATATTTTGTGTAAGTAAATTTGTTAGTGTGTATTAAGTGATTGATTATAATATAGAGGCTGTAACCAATGTTTGATGCTACAACATGATAAACTGTTGAATGACGATGAATAATTATTAGTAGAAGCATATTACAAAACTGGTTTACAATATCATCTTAAATAATACATGTATAATACTATAATATATTATATTGTGAGGCGTCTCAGTCTATTCGTATAAATTAACTGTACAACGGGGAAAGATATTTTCAGGATGTTTTTCTCTTAATATCTACGCCACTACGTCACGAGATAATATTATAATTTAAAGTGAAAATTATTGGAATATTGCCATTTTCTTTATATACGAGAGTATTTATATATACCTATGTGGTATAATATGTTAATGTAAATGATTTTATAATTGTGTTTATTGATTTTAATTTATTTCTATGAAGTTTATCCTATATATTACGTACTCAAGATGTATATATATTTATATCCCAACAAAAACAACACTCCCCCATTATACACCGTATTAAATATTATACACAATTTTTGTTTCATAAGTGTTTGGAGCTCAAATGTCACTAAATTCTTCAAAATCATGAAAAATTGTTAACGATTTGGTGTTAGAAATGTATAAAATATTCAATTTTTATAGCTTATAGTTTATAGCTTGAAAATGTAATATATTAATACTATGTTTTTCATGTGTAGGTCTTATTGACACATAAACCTTAAAAAAATATTGAAGTACCTACATTTTTTTTCTAGAGATTTTAATTTCAAAGGTTGGCGAAATTGGGTTGTCAAACAGAGTATAACAATTTGGTTATTTCGTTGTATACAATAAAAGTTGAACTATAATTCAAAAATATTCGTGTGAAATTTTTACTTATTTTATTATATTTTATCATAGGTACGCCATGGCATTTTAAAAATACTTAGATTAATTTTAAGTTATTGTCTGTTTTACCGTGTAATGTCTACCGTATTTATAGTAAAATATATTGATATTGTAATTTGCAGCAATATATAAAATATGCATAGTAATTTATGCTGGCAGACAGTTTTTGCTCAGAATCATGATATGCAATTATTTTTCATTGAATTCAAATTTAACACATCAATTGCATTGACGAGGTACACAGTAAACTAGGCACCTCCATATTGTAGCAGTCTGGTTACCTGCTTGCCAACTTTCTTTATTAATTATTCTCTTACAAAGTAATAATGATTGTGAATGAAACGTGACGTCATACGCATAATTGAACCTTTAAGAAATTCAAATTTGTTGTTCAATTTAAATATATGATTTACGGTGTTCACTTCACAACGTAATAGTTTATCTTTTACAGTTTTAACATGAGGAAAGAACATTATTTAATTTTCATGACATTCATACTAGGAGTGACCACTGCATATCCCAAAAATGGTAAGTTGTTTTAGAATTTTATTAAGGTAGTTCGAGCTTGAAATTCAATGTCGGATACTCAGTAATGATTGTTGATTTTCCTTAATGTCAGAATGCAGTACACCACACAATGAAATTGGCGTTTGTATGGATATTAAGCATTGTAAAAAGTTACGAGAGTTACTGGAAAACCAGAGACACATTCCGTCTGTCATGGCCTTCCTAAAGAAATCATTTTGTGGACACGAAAATGGAATTACAAAAGTGTGCTGTCCTCTGGAAAACGCATCTTCGGGTGCGAAGATTAAAGAGTATACTGATAACATCAAGACACATTCACCATCAAAATTGCCATCACAAGAAACATGTGGGCATAGCAATCCCATCAGCAATCGCATTTTTGGAGGAGTCCAATCTATATTAGGTTTGAACTTCATTAAAATAATTAACTTCAATCTATTTGTATTTATTTACTAAACGTATTGTGAACCAGTCTGATAAGTGATAACATAACATGAAGTATAAAATTATTGACCCTCCGAAACGTGGACTCGTTTATATGTAACTATTTTTTAGGTACTTGGCCTTGGATGGTAGCCATGGGATACCAAGAGGTTAATGGAAGAAGTCATGAATTATATTGGCTTTGTGGCGGTACTTTGATTACCAATACACACGTATTAACAGCAGCGCAATGCGTGAACAATCGAAAGACTGTTAGGTTGTAAGTAATTATGGCATTTATATATACATACGATGTCATCTCAATAGTTATGTTTTACTTATCAAATTAATATAGGTTCAACAATTACCTAGTGGCTGGTTTACAGTTTTTTTTTTTTAATGAATACCTTTTTTTTTAAAAATATTTTAGAGCTGTGGCTCGCTTAGGGGATTTAGATTTGGATTCCAATGTCAACGATGGAGCGACGCCATTAGATGTTCCAATCGATGATATTATAATACACGAGATGTACAACCCTCGAGAAAACACCAATGACATTGCAATACTGAAATTAAAAAATAGTGTTTCCTATAATGGTAAGTTTTTCTTTCGTGTCATTAATAATCATAATGTTAAAATATATTTTTAACGTGATTTGTGTGTTGATTGATAGTTACACAATTATTATTATTTATATAAAGAATTACACACAAAATATGCACTATAAAGGGCATAGTTTAAAACATTATCAGATAAATTAATTATATAATATTATGTACAGTTCAGCTATTCAGTAT